CCTTGTGAAATTTATGTATGTAAAGTAAAGACAATCCTAGTGTGGAGGTGAAGTATTCACCGCCTGTTCCATAGATTGCTTCATAGGGAGGATATTGCTATAGTTGATATGCTGCCTTTTCCCTGTTTTTGTTTCGCTCTGTCGTCACCACCCATGGGATGATATGGGTTAGTGGATATTCTTATTCCATCACTGCACAATATTTCACATCTTTATATATACCTAATTAATTTACAATAGATTTTACACAAATATAGAAACGGCTCTTATAATATGTTGCACAAATATTGTCTTTGGCTGAGTTCGAACATTAGATATTTAACGAAGAACTTCGACTGGCGCGATACTTTAAATCACACTAATTTAATGACAAGGTAAAAAACTACTCACCCGATCATGTGGCTCCGAAATGTGAACTACGATGCACGTTCTGACATAATCGACTCTCGAATCCCCAGCCAAATGTTGAATGTACTCCACCCCATACCACATTCCGGTTAAACTGTCCACCCTAATGCCGGTCTGTGGTGATCTATTAACGCAGTAATCCCTCATATTGTTCATAAACGGTGCCTCGTACGACGTATACCCTTGTCCATAACCACTACCATACTTCGGGGAGGTGTACCCCGGCTGCATAAAGACATTGTTTCCCGTATTATAATTGTTGTAACTTGACGTCGAATACCCCGAATTAAAGTTGGGATATCTAGTTGCATCTGGAAATGTGGCTATGTCACTTCCATAACTTCCCGTCTGATACGGATATTGATTATAAAGATTCGCTATAGTAGTGTAGCTGGGGTAATTCGTAGATTCACCATAACGTTGGTAACTAGCGCAATTTACTGACGCAACAAGAGTTATTAAAATGGCAACAATAAGGGACATTTCGCGGTATCTTCGTAAAGATTGTCGATGGGTAAGATGTCGCGGGTTAGTTGTGTGACGGACAGTGATGTGCGACTGCAGCGTAGTGTATGATAGTGGCATGTAAACTAATTAGGTCCAATTGTAATGATTCAGCTCGCGAGTCAAAGGCTATAAGTCGCTTGTTTAAACTTTCAAACTTGAGGTTATTCTTTTACCACCATCACAGTAATACAAATAAAACTCTAATGTATACTTAATTACATTCAATTATGTATTATAAAGTGTCTGAGTCAACTTGCTTTTCTTAGTAATATAATGTTCTAAGGACATGTGAAGTCCTCAAACACGCTCTGGAGCAGTGTGGCAGACTAATTACTCACTAACCTTTACAAAATTTTTACGTGGTAGAGCCATGCTGCAGCTATATTAGTAGTATAATTGTAGCACGAATGGGTCGGCCCGATTGAGGAAAGACCACGCTCTCACAGAATACCAGCGTAAAATAGTAGCTTAACGCTGCTGTATTTGGTATGGTGAGTGTAGAGAACCGGAGACCCTTTTTACTGGAAACGAGGCATTCCATCTTAATCCTCACGGGTGACAACGCATCACCATTTTGATTCGTAATCGAGGATAGATGTAGATTTCTATGGGCCACAGAAACCACTTATCATCAGGTGGACTGTGTGCTCGTTTGTCACGCTTATCCTATAAAAAAAATTGGAGAAGACCCTTACCCAGCCCTATATTAGGATTTATATAAATGAACCTTTAATTTTTTACTATAATGTCAGGTAATACTAAGTGTGTTAGGGTCGTGCTAAATGCAAATCTGTAGTCTCTGCCTACCCCTCTGGGTGGCAGACGTGAGTGTTTATGTAAGTGTGTAAAATACAATTACGATTTCTCAAAAAAAAATTACCCGGTTTGGAAGTACTTAAAAGCTTTCAATAAACGTAAATTGGATAAAATAATCTTAAATAAAATATATAGTTTATAGTAAATCGTACTTATATATAAATAGACAGTTATACAAGTTAACAAATCAAGGTGAGAACGCATTTACATTTTGATTTGTAATCGAGCATAGATGTAGATGTCTATGTTCCACAGCAACCACTTACCATCAGGTGGACTGTGTGCTCGTTTGTCAACCTTATCGTATAAAAAAAAAACTACAGTAAACTCCAGTCTTACAGCATAAAGGTGACAAACGAGCACACAGTCCACCTGATGGTAATTAGATGCTGTAGCCTATAGACATCTACATTTATCCTCGATTAAAAATCAAAATGCAGATGCATTGTCACCCCTGTGGACTAAGAATGCCTCGTTTCCAGTAAAAAGGGTCTCCGGTTCTCTACACTCACCATACGAAACACAGCACCCTTAAGCGGCTATTTTACGCTGGTATTCTGTGAGGGCGTGGTCTTACTTCGGTCGGGCTGAACCATTCGTGCTAAAACTATAACTGCAGCGTGGCTCTACCACACATACTCGTATGTCGCTAAGATCTTAATTGAGTAAAAAATGTAACTGTTAATATGAAAAATTGATAAAATATAAACGTTAAAGCAGTAATAATAACGATGATGATAATGATGACGATGATGATTATAATATCCTGACCCATCTCTACCAGGTTGGGATTTGTTTTGAAAGTTATCTACTGTCTATAAATGTCATACATACTATTTATAAATATTTTTTCGTGGCAAAATACTCATGGATATCCTTCGACCGCGGGAGCGTTTAAAGAGGTTCGCCCTACCTATACTATATGTTATGCCTAATGCGATATACATACAGTTTTAGAGACATGGGACAATTACAAGATATCCAAAGCTAAAACCTAGGACAAGTAAATACGATAAGTCACACGCTCTAGTAAGTAATAGTTTTATTAGTAACACAAAGTTAATAACCGTGTAGCATTTAATTCCCGAAATTAATTAACAACTATGTCCTAGTTCTAAGCTGTATAATTGGCATAATTTGCTTACGAAAGGACTTCCTTCTTATCGTTATGACTTCACCTCTACCCGCGTGGTCGGAGTTCAGAGGCCGCTCGTTCACCACATCCTCAAAAACAACTTAATTAAAGCGCACATAGGCACTGCGTGCTTTTGAAAGTCTCAATTGGCGGAAACACGTCTCCACGACATAAGGGGATAAAGCTTCATTATTGCACAAATGGTTTTCGTATTTGCCCTTTAGAATGTAAAATGGCTATAGAGTTACAAGTGAAATAAACCGCCACGTAGACAGGACCACTAGTACAATCGACTTTTTAGTAAAGCTTGATCATTTATATTACATACTGAGCAGTAGTTTTTGTGTTAGCCTTAATAATTTATATCGAAGTCGGTTGTACAAAATTTTTAATTTTACCACTTGTTTGCGTGATAATACACCTATTGATATATCAAAGAAAATACTACCCTAACGTATTATATACTCAATACATGATATTATGGCAAAGTAAAAAAAAGAGTTCTTTTTTTTTTAAATACGTCGTAGAGCCATGCTGCAGCTATATTAGGGTTGTAGCACGAATGGGTCGACTCGACCGGAGAAGGACCACGCTCTCACAGAATACCAGCGTAAAATAACAGCTTAATGCTGCTGTGTTTCGTATGGTGAGTGTAGAGAACCGGAGACCCTTTTTTACTGGAAACGAGGCATTCCATCTTAGTCCTCACGGGTGACGACGCATCTGCATTTTGATTCGTAATCGAAGATAGATCTAGATATCTATGGGCCACAGCAACCACTTACCATTAGGTGGACTGTGTGCTCGTTTGTCACCCTTATCCAATAAAAAAAAAATTAAAAATAAATCATCATTTTACAAAACACAAACATACTGGTTAAGAAATAAAAATGAAGATTTAGAATTAAAAGAAAGTAGAAAGTCAAACAAATAAAAATTCGGTTAATAGCAGATTTGTTTGCAATTTTTGTTTTAACATAATATTAGAAAGGAACAAGAAATTACCCACAAAATAACTCATCTCTTGCAAACCTAAAATCTTACTTAGCAGTACATATTAGATATTTTTAGAATTTTTTAATTTAATATTAAAATATCGTTTGGTCTAGCAAACGCAAATAAAGCAGTGAAACAGCTCATTTTTCTCAGACTCAATTTTTACAAATATACCTACCAATTTTATACTGAACCTTTTTGATTACAATAAAGCATCATTTATGTTGCTCTCGGGAATACTGTACTCGTAGCTTTCTATCAGTGATAGAATTATCTAAATCGTATCGGCAGTTCCAGGGATTATCTTCTACAAGCAAACTTACAAAAAACTTCACAAGAGGTAAAGTTTTTGAATACTACTTTTGGTAAATAAAAATTTCGGATTTTTATTTGCTAATATGACAGTAGCAGTAGACGGCACCAAGCGGCCCACCAGCCAAATCAAGGGAAAGTACTTACTTTAACTTATTTTACAGTCGAATATTCAAAGCCTTAAATGCTCAGACCGGCGATCTGCTTCTGCATGCGCGTAGTAGGTAGGTATTATTATTTATTCTATAGTGGGCGTTAAAAGTGTGGAAGATTTGGTACCTGACACGCGAGCACATGTCCGAGGAAAACTCGCTAATCGACTGCTTTATCGGCGTTCATGGCTACATGTAAATAGTGTATAATTGTAAAAAATGGTTATGGTATAATTATCTCATCCTTATCTTTTTATTCCACTAGCGCTATTTTTATAATTGATAGTCTGTTTTAAGTTAAACCTAGATGTAGGTTAATTTGTATTGGTTCAGTATTACTTAAGTAATAAACCTGAATTAATTATCAATTTATTTAAGACAATTTTATTACATGTATGTTGCGGGTTCTGTTAGTCAATAATAAAAACGAACACAATGTTTTATTTTTAATTAATGTTTGAGAGTCTACAGAGATGTTTTTACCAATTCATAATCAGGTATGATTTTTATAAGCTTAGTTACATATTTACATAATAAGGTAATTACTATTATTATTAATTTTACTACTTTAATTTTATTATTAAAATTACTATTTAAACAACTATTATGACATCTGTCATTCCTAAATGAAAAAATAAAGTAACTTGTTTTATCGCAAATAAAACTAATAATTTTTAGGAGTACGCGTAATATATAGCGTATAATACAAAATTACAAATAAATACATTTATAATTGAACTGAATTCCATACAACCGCCACATACGGTGGCCTGGCGGTATAATTTAGGAAGATCATAATTATAGAATTCTTGCTGAAATTTATACCACTCCCATCTTTGTAGTCTCGTTATTGATCTTCTAAGAATTAAAGTGAAAATCCCACCATCTCCTGTTTCTGAGCAGTGATTTATCAACAGCATATGTGGACTAGCTTTTAGTACTCGAATTACCTCAGGATGTCGAGGTGGGTCGTCTGGGTACCAAACATCTAAAATGATTTATTTTTAATAAATAATATTTTACAGATTGCGAAATAATTGATAACAATGATAGCATAGGCAAATTAATGACAGTTTTATTTGAATATGACCACAAAACCTCTAAATATCCAATAAATACCCGATATTAATCAGTTACTATGAAGGCATTATACTTATTCTATACTCAATCAAAGTTAAAACATATACGAATAGGAACATTATCAACCCAAAGTGCAGATGAATATGTTTTGTTATTAATAATTGTTTTTTATGACCTCTTGACCTAGTGGTCGGGATACCAGATAACAAAACCGCAGATCTCGAGTTTGAATCCATGCTGAAGACAACATCTGTGCAAAAACACATAATAATATGTCCCCTGTCTCTGTATTCCGGTCTTTCTAAGATTTTATCACAATAAAATAATAAGTTACCTATGCCTCTAGAACGCATCTCTTTTTCCCAAGGCCGCAATTTTTCTGCAATCCAAAGACCGGGATCTTCTGCAGAGTAAATATATACCTGCTCCATGGACTGTCCATCTTCATCCCACATTACCCTTAAACGCCTTTCCTCATTGATGTTCCTTTTAATCTCCCTTTTCAATCTTAAATCGAGCCACGACCCTGACATAGAATCATCTGACCACGGATTGCTTTTATAAGATCGCCAATTCTGATCCGTATGGTTTTTTCTTGGGATCTAAAAAAAATAACATTTGAGAAATTACTTAAACCTTGTTACGATAATTTATTCAAACTATACTTACAGCCCAGTTAAGCCAATCGTCTCGAACCTCGTAAGTAGTATCAGTGATATAGAGAGATACGCAACCTATTTCATTGGGCTTGTTAGTCATATCAGGCGTGTGCTGCGCATAGCCTACACCATACCACAGTCCAAAAACATCGTCCACATTAAAATGGTGCGACCAACGTATAGTCTCACCACACAGACCTTGAACTGAAGGAATTATTATTAACTTTGTAAATAAAGAGGACAGTAGCACAGTATACATGGTGACACTCGGAACTGCGCATGGAATATGGGTCTGAGTATGTTGATTCATCTCATTCAATTAGCAAATTATTGCACGTTGTGTTCAATGCATGGCGCCATAGTTATACATGATTCATCAAAGCTGGTCTTATAAACTGAATACATTTTTTATATAATTACTTTAATACCAAAAGAAAAGACTTCATTACTTATATTCAAATGGTTGTGATGATCGCCTCTCCTTACCGATTTTCATACAAGGCGATTTCAGCTGTTATCTTTCGTGCCCCGTCAAAACAGCCCCGACAAAACAGCCCCCGACAAAACAGCCCCGACAAAATAGCCCACCGACAAAACAGCCACCGTCAAAACAGCCCCCGACAAAACAGCCCAAGTCAAAATAAATACCATACATATCTATAGAATTTATAACTATACTTATACCGTGTATCTACTTCAGTTGGCGATATATGGGAAACTTTTCTATTGTGAGTTTTAGCAAGAAATTATTCCTTATAAAAATTGATACTTTACAATTTGTTCATTCCAACTATTGCAAATGTATCTGAATAATGTTTTCTACAAATGATATCAAATTTAAAATTGTAAGTGGTGTAAAACGAATGTTAATACTTTACGTGACTTTTTTTGGTTCATTTTATGTATTTTTTGTTTTCAACAAAACTATTGCATCGTCTACACACGAAATAAAAACAAAAATAAATGTAGGTATAAAATTATATTATAATGTATATTTACAAACAAAATTCTACAAACTATATTCGTCAAAGGTTATTAATTACAAAGGTTACAATTATTAATAATTATTATAAAATAAAAATAAATGAAGTTATATAATAATATATCAATTTATAATGTCAGATTGTTGGAAATTCCACGGAGATACGGTAAAAGGTCGTCGTTGTTATAATTTCCCATAAGAGTTTCCAATCGACGATTAAGTTGCACATACTTCTTTTTGGAAGCTTCGGGATTTCTGAAGCCGGCTCGAAAACGTTCCAACTCTATTTCTACCCGGTCTTGTTCCTTCCTGAAGTGGTCTATTAATTTGAAAATACATGGATGGTGACAGTCAACGGTGTGTTGGAAAGCATGATGCCATCCTTCTACAGAGTTGTTTGTACGCGGAAGGCCCTGGTGCACTCTATCATGAACATTCCATACATGAATAGGAAATTTTGGATCTGCTCTCCGATTTCTTCTTTGCCGTCCTATATAAGTATCTTCCCAGTAATCGATGACTGCATCAATTTCTCGTGGACAGCTTTCGGTTAGCTCCTCAAAAGCAGTGATTACGTCGCCCTCTTGGACAAAAGATAACGCTAGTAACATTTTCAAATGCATTCTCACATTTTCGTCATTGCGATATTCTTCTACAAGATGTAGCTCTTGGATTTTCCTCCATAAACACTGCCCTAAGTGGAATAAACAACCCATCACCTGAACACCATGAAATACCTGGCAAACTGCATTTCGGATCGCTTTCTCGAAGTCGGATAAGCAGCTTATTGGATTTAAAGTGGGTTTCAACTCCATCAATTTTTGAAACACTCGAACATATATTTCTTCTCGTTTATCCTGTAGAAGCACGTAAATCAACGGAATAGAACGGTTATCTACCAATGCATGAATGGTAAATACTTGTAAAAATAATTGTGGGGCTACTTTAAAGGTTCCATCTACGTGCCAGTGCCGGTGCTCCTCTAAAACTTCCAAATTTTCTTCAGTACCAAACATGAAGATGCGATGAGGATCATTCTGTCCAGAATCCCATAACAAGAAATTTAGATTTCTTGAAGTGACTTGTAGTGCAACAGGAATATTAATATCGGCAACAGAGCCTGGGTTTGGGCACGACACTTCACGCCTTTGCCGAATACGCTTAACAGTTCTCTGAGATGCATTGTACGATGGCAAATGGGCTGATGCTTCCAAATTTATCCCTCTTGTCGATCCTTGAATCAACTGCCTTGGTTTCTCAAGGGTGTCCGCTGCTCGCCTTTTCATATTAGACACAGATTTTTTTGCTTCATTTTTAGCTGGATCTGGAGCATGACTGTGTCGAGTCACATTTACCACGACATTTTCCAATGACACTTTGACACGTCCTCGGCAAGGAGTCTCGGCGCATCTCCATGATACACTGCCATCGGTATTAGTTCTCGCCTTACTCAATAGCAATAAGAGGATTATCGCCGCAAGAGGTACAATAGGCATTGTAAACACATTACAAATTACTTTCTTAAAGCGATGAACAGACTATAAGTTATTATAACATTTATTCAAATCTGCTAATCGGCTGAAACGTAAATCGCCCCTTCTTGGAACCTACTCATAATAGGTAAGTTAATTAAATTGAAAGCTGAATATAAAATTCCACAATATATTCACAGAAATAATTATTATTATTATATTATATTTTCATTATGTAATATACCCTGAAGATAAAAAGCACGATTATCAATGCAACTAGCAAAGTAATAATATTATACTACCTGTTTACGGGCTGTTTTGTCGGGGGCTGTTTTGACGGGGGCTGTTTTGTCGGTGAGCTGTTTTGTCGGGGCTGTTTTGTCGGGGCTATTCTGTCCGGGGCTGTTATGTCGGGGAACCGTTATCTTTATATATAAAAATTACGTGTCACATTGTTTGTCCGCGATGAACTCCTAAACTACTGAACTGATTACAATGAAATTTGCACAATCTGTGCAGTTTGGTCCAACTCGAAAGATAGGATAGTTTTTATCCCGATAAGTTACCCTCAGTGTTTTTTATTGCGAATTTAAGGATTTTTATAATACAAAGATTCGCCGCTAAGGACAGAATAGCGTCTGCCTGGCCAGCCAGTTTACTATAAAATATTATATTTTCTTTGTTTTTGTTCTGTCATTTAAATGTCACGTATGATGTGCATTATTTTTATTAATATTAATATTAGTACTGCGCTCCGATTTTAATGTAATCTCTAAAACTAGCTTTCGATTTTCGGCAAATATATTAAAACTACTGCAGTGCGATTGTATAACTCTGGTGGGAATCATTTGACGGTTATTAACATTAATATCTTAACGATATTAAATATTATAAGGTGTCCAATAATCGATACTCATACATTTACACGATACTCGTACAACGAAGGCAAACGCCAAACGTTAAAACGAATTCAACCACGATTCCAATCAGAGTAATCACACTGCTGACTACGAATTAGTAAACTGAAAAAGCAATAGGCCGGCAATATAGCTAGACAACCGATTACCGATTTAAGGGAAGAAATGTTTTCGAGAGACCCACTCAACTTAATGGAGTGACGACCGGTAAGACAGAAAGTCAATTGATGCAGGTAGCTAAGAAAAATGTTTGCTGTGTGCTGGCTAACAAAAACCTACAAAGTTCCATGATTGAGCACAGGCGTTTTCTAAGGACTTCATTTGAATCATAGAAATATTATCCGTTTCCCAGACATGCCCGTTTCACTTTACTGTCAGGAGTTAAAATTATTTTGTTTAACAATTTAAGTATCAAGGTGGAGATCAAACTCACAGTTTTGCTCGCTTTGAAACTTTTTAAATGCTCAGACTTATATATATATTTACCTTAATCTGAACACGAGTAAAGGATGATTCACGCTACAATGGCGCGGCCGGGCCGTGCCCCGGCCGGGGCACGTTCAAACATTATGGTGTACTTTTTGTATGAAGCGATTCATGCCTGACCGTGGCCCGGCCGTGCCCCGGCCGTACGCCGCCGGGACTCGGCCGGGGCACGGCGTTGAAATGTCGGTGGGTATTGTTTCCCGGCTCCGGCACGGTCCGGCCCCGACACGTTGTAACATGAACATATGCGCCCGGGCGCCCGGAGAGCAGTCAACGTCAAATCTTAGTGAAGTGAGCAGCATTCTTTAGACATTCTAAAATAACCATAAAACTTGCTCTCATCATCTATTAATTCTTTGTAAAGTAAAGCAAATTCTCCTTCTGCTTCTCGCTTTCTCCAGGTTGGATGTACACCCCATCTTCTTTTAGTAGTTTCGCTTCGTTTTTCCAATACTTCATCATCGATGGCAATTGCAATAGCTGCCAATTCAAATTGTGAAAATTGCATATTTATGTAAGCGTGAAGTCTATCGACAGATGAAATCACTAGCTGACAAAAACCACATAACACAGAGTCGTGCATAAGCCACGGTCGTGCAAACAGCCCGGTGTATAACCTGTCGGAAATATCTGCGAACCTCGCTGGAATGCGCTTCCCTTCGCGCTTCCCCGCACCTCCGCCCGTTATCGTCTATCCAGTACCGTTGCCATCTCTCCATATTGCATGACGTCATCAAGCCAGGTTCGCAGATATTTCCGCCCGTTATCGTCTATCCAGTACCGTTGCCATCTCTCCATATTGCATGACGTCATCAAGCCAGGTTCGCAGATATTTCCGACAGGTATAACATGAATGACTGGCCCGGCCAGCGCACGGTGGACGTGTCCCGGCCGGGCACGGCCCGGTGGCGACACGTTGTAGCGTGAATCATCCTTTAAACGGTTGACACTGCTCCCTGTCGCCGATGAACGTGAACGAGATTGTTATATCGTGTGAAATTATTCTGCTCCGAGGAATTATTCGGTTTTCTTTCGGGTTCTAGCCGCCAACTTGCACCAACACACATCGTGACAAAAGTCAAAATACCATCCTCACCTTCTGAATGCTTGGCGCTCCACCACTGTGCGATTCTTGTTTCGCGAGTCTTTATCACCAGCGATTTTCCCAGCCCGATACGACTTAGTTTGGTTTAGTTTGATATATTGTTGGTTTAAATAAATCTAACCTAATCTTGATTTTGGTACGAGTACAACCTCTAGCATAACAAAACCTCTTTATACTTAGGCTGCTTACAATTTTTTCTAGAGACTCCACTGAGGAATGGAATACACGAGTACAGTGGTGTTCATTAAACTCATTTCGTCCCCATTTATAATTAAAAAATACACATTTTTCAGCTTAGGGATACGACTTAGGGACCTTCAAGAAAAGAGCTTACACCTTTCTAAAACGCTGGCAAACCACCTGCGATTCCCCTGGTGTTGCAGTTGTTCATGGGCGGCGGTAGTCACTTACCATCAGGTGAGCCGTACGCTCGTTTGCTCCCTCCCCTATAAAAAAAAATTTTGAACCTAAGTTCTATGGAAGCTATTACTTTTTATTTGAAGACGTACCTACGTTCCTTTGCTGTGCCTACTTATTCTCGCATTTCTAAGGAGGTGATGGCGCAGTAAAGAGTCGACCACGCTGCTTAAGTACGAACTGGCCGGCTTCGAATTATTTTAAATATTGTTGATTTCTCAGGAATGAATTACGACGAATAAATCCGAGTACAGAATCAGAGTACGAAACCTATTCAACTGAAGAGAGGAGTAAGACAGGATGACGTTATATTCCCGAAACTCTTCACCGCTGCATTGGAAGACGTTTTAAAGCTACTGGACTGGAAAGGATACGGTATTAACATCAATGGCGAGCACATCACTCACCTTCGATTTTGCGATGATATAGTCCTTATGGCAGAATCATTGAGCTCAATGACCTCAATAGTGTCTCCCAACGGATAGGTCTTAAGATGAACAAACAAAACAAAAATCATGTTTAACGTCCATGTCACACCTATGCCGGTAGCTGTTGGGAGCACTAAGCTCGAAGTTGTTAACGAGTATGTTTATCTGGGACAAATAGTCCGACTAGATAAGTCCAACTTCGACCGAGAGGTCAGTCGACGGATTCAACTCGGTTGGGCAGCATTTGGGAAACTACAACAAATCTTCTCGTTAGACATACCTCAAAACCTGAAAACGAAATTGTACAACCAGTGCGTGTTGCCAGTGATAACTTACGGATCTGAGACATGGTCCTTCACTGCTGGCCGTATGAGGAAGCTCAAGATCGCTCAGCGAGCTATGGAGAGGGCTATGCTCGGGGTTTCTCTGCATGATAAACTTAGAAATGAGGATACCCGCAGTAGAACCAGAGTAACCGATATAGCCCAACGGATTAGTAAGCTGAAGTGGCAGTGGGCCGGCCATATAGCTCGAAGAACCGACAACCGATGTGGAAGAAAGGTTCTCGAGTGGCAGCCTCATACCGGTAGGTGAAGTGTAGGGCGACCCCCCACTAGATGGAGTGACGACCTGGTAATATATGCAGGAAGTGGCTCAGGAACGTGCTTCGTGGCATTCCTTGGGGGAGGCCTATGTTTAGCAGTGGACTTATGAAGGGCTGTAATGATGACGATGATGATGATGATATTTATCATACAAAAATTACAAACACAACGCTATCAATATAAGAAGTAGGTATAGTAATAAGAATATTATTATCTTTTTACTGTCATATTATTTACATGGACTGTGATAACAATCTCTTAACTGTATAGAAAAATTACGAAATTTTAATTTCTCACTTAACTGCATAATATGTAACCCTTATTACATAGGATAGCTATCTGCCTTACTTTTAATAATCGATAAAAATACAATTTTAATAAAAATTAAAAGGCGATTGCGAAGAACTAAAAAGAATAAAATAATTTCACTTTAGGAAATCGGTCGATTCTGAAGACAGAACGGTTAAAAACCATCTTACTGTGATTTTTTTTTTTATTACTTTGAAATCTTTCATGTTATTCGAACTTAACCCTTTCACTGTCTCGTGCACTACATATAGGTCATTGCTATTGTCTTACTATTGTGTCTAAAAACCGGACAGTGAAAGTGTTAATACTGAAAAGCATTCTCTGCCAACTAACCTTTGGTAGTGTGGTGTGAGCTATAGGTAGAGCCGCAACGGAAACAACTAGCTTTGAACTATGTACCTACTCGACAAAATTTGTTCACAATTATTGTCGTACTGAAAAATATACTCCTCTTTTTTGATGTCGGCTAAAATGAGAACGCCAGGCGTATGTAACTTCCATATATTTTACACAATTGTTCATAATAAGTATTGTGTAAAGATTTAAGCAATTATATATGAATGTTTTCTTCTGAAGTCCTGCCTATTTGGTCGAGTAGTCGTAAGCACGACTGCTGATGATGTGGTCCCGAATTCAAATCCCAGGGCGGGTCAAAATCAATTAGTGATTTTTTTAAAGACATTCTTAGTAGGAACCAGGAGTCAGGAAGTTGAGGGTGTTTCATCCCCGTACCTCGAAAAGCAGGTAAAGTCGTTGGTCCTACACCTGATCTCTCTCCGGTCATATCGGGTTCCGGTCCCCTCGGTCTATGGGAGTTAGGCAAAAGAGTAATAGTAAATACGCGTGCACACGCGTGTGTACACAACCACAATGAGACTATAAAAACTATAACCCTGTCCTGAGCCGATGACTAGTCTCCATTTAGACTGAAAGCCTTGACCCAAATTCGGTCTGTGGAATATAATTAAGTCCTAATTACTAATATTTTCGTTCTTATATGTAAGTAATTTTTAAAATAATAATCCTAAAAATCTGATAAAAATAAATAGGATTTCCATTAATTGTGTTTAGCTCATTACGTATAAGTAGCGGCACGAAAGTCTAGCGGTGATCGTTATTGCGCATAAGTCGCGTTAATTGGCTCGTGCGTATCGCTGATTGGCTCTCCAGTCGCATTCATGCAATTCAATACGTGCGCGTCCCCTCCACGTTTCGTTGAGCGCTAGACTTAAGTGCCACGACTTGTACATATTTATTAAAATACAACAAAATAAAAATGATAAATCAAAATAAGGCACTTGAAATTTATTTTTATTTAACCTTAAATAAAAACATTTACAAATTTATTAGTTACATTTGGTTTATAATAGTCGATCGGCGGATTCGAAGTTACGTACACAAGGCTAATTACTCTTCTGTTAAAAGTAGGAAGATCTTTTTTTATCTATTACTATGTAGAATAAGCACATACAATGTCACTATTACCTTTCATCAGGGCAGGCAATAAAATATTGACAATATTAGAAGTTTTGCAGCAATTAAAGATTGGTATAATATGTCATATAATATAAAAATTATTTAATCGCATTAAATACAATGGCAAAACATAACATGTTGCTAGTGATTTCTCTGTTACAAACAGTAGCAATATCTTAAAATTAAAAACGAAACAATTAGAAATAAAGTCCCTGATAATTTAAGATTAACAGCTGAATTCTCACAAACACGCTTCAGAGCAGACGTGGATAAGCGTTTCATGGTGAACACATTATGGATATTTGCTAGATCCTCAGGAGTTAGCTGATTTTCATTCCTAGCCAGAACAACGCTGTACAGCTGCGAATGGGGTAATCTCATACAAAAATTCAGCACCAAATGGTTCTTGGCTACCTTCAACACCTGGATTACTCCCCCAAAGAAACGATACATTTTTTCGACAGCTGCAAAATAAATAATTTATTATTGTTATTATTTTACCTATTATAAGCGAGTATTTCTTATATCACACCTTATGATGTACTCAACTGATTTCTGACGATGTTTGTGCTGTTAGCCTTTTGGCTTTTATGGCATTGTCGGACTCAGGGCTAACGTGACGGCTAACTCGTATCGTTCGATGATCTGGGACGCGGGTCTACGATGTGTACGCGGTGTGGATGGGTGTACGGCGCGCTCGTCTGCGGACTTGCTGCGTCCCATCCGTTGTTGTCCTAATAGTGTTTGTGGCACTAGGTGAGTGTGTAGTGTTTATGTGTGACTGGCCGGCGATATTTCGGCCATCGGCATCTAGCGGAACGGGGGGTGATGATGTACTACGAGTCGACTTAAGTTTTATACGTGGCAGAGCAACGCTGCAGCTATATTATTGTAGCAGCATGAATGGGTCGGCTCAACTGAGGAAAGATCACGCTCTCACAGAATACCAGCGAAAGATAACAACTTAATGCTGCTTTGTTTCGTATGGTGAGTGTAGGGAAACGTAGAACCTTCTTACTGGAAACGAAGTATTCTATCTTAGTCATCAGGGTGACAACGTATCAGCATTTGATTCTTAATCTAGATTAGTCTAAATTGAAAAATAAGACTATGTCCAATTAAATTAAATTTCTGATTTCATACAGAACGTAGGTACGTAGGTAGACGCTTCAGTATAGATCCTCAATTTCTTTTCTGGTAGTAAAAATGTACGACTTACATCCATTAGGCACGTCCGTTGGCCAAAATCCTTTATGCGATGTATTCACCTTGATGTGGTACTCTTCCCTCCAAAGTCCTTCGTTCCATTCGAGGATGAAATGCCGGATCCGATATCGCTCGGGAAGACCATAAGCACGATTAACATATGGAGAATTCGTAGTTGGTAGGTAAGACGTCGGCGGAGTCGGCTGGGAACATATGAATTAATTTTTTTTTAAAAATAACAGTCCATTAAATGCCAACTTTCATTCGAAATACTAATTAGACGAGTATATATGTATATTTAGACTTATACGTACTAAATTACGACTAATCAAACCACCCTCTACGTAATCCTCAAATTTTCTAAAATGTACGATGGGACAGTAAGGGTTTACTTCGGTGATAGTTTTATTTTCTTTATGAAATATATATTCTCGTATGTACCACATTCCCAAAACCGCTTCTTCGTCAAAATCGTGCGTCGGTTTTAAGTCCGGACAAAAATTAACATTTGTTGCGTGTATTATTGAAAATAACAAAGCAATCAAAGAGACACTCAATGCCATTTTATATCCGAAAAAGTAGGACATTCATGTAATATATTCTCTTAATTATAGTACGAAGTCTAAGCACACTTGCGCAAAATTAATTAACAAGACTAAGCCACCGGCTCGCTTATATCATGACTGTTTCTACCTTTGACCCGTTAATTACATCGCCACGACCCTACATCCTCTTACAAATTGCGCGTTACGTTCTGATACGTACTTTAAGCATGAAAAATGCATATTGAAAAGATATTTCAAGGCAATAGTAAAAATGTATAAAACACATTTTCTTAAAAATGGCCAAATGCTCAATGAAATTACTAAATACAACATTAAAATATAATAAATACAACATTATAAAATAAGTTTAGTGTATACGATTATCTGAATTAGCAATTTTATTTAAAAATGCGAAAATTTTGAAGCACAAAAGTAAACTATGAATACTATATTTTGACTATATTCATGCATCAATTTAACGATTACCCTATTAATATTTAACTTTTTCGATACTTTAATATAAAGGAACATAAAAAATAGCAATTTCAATAAATTTACTTTTCTCAAAGCAGAAAGAAACTAAATTACGACTAACCTCGGTGTATACTTCTCTTATATCAATATGGAAACATTCCCTTGTGTGTTCAATTTTATACTCCCCTTTCGTGTGAGGTATCTTTTCAACGCCGTACCAGACGCCGGATATCTGATCTAAATCAATTTCACCAACATAAGGAGATAAGTCATCACAATATTTATGATTTTCAAAATAATAATTACTTTGACCGTAGCACTCAATACAACTTAAACTTATTAAAATTAATATAAAACTACGCTCCATTGGAGTAAAACTAAGATAATCCGGATATCGGGATAAAAGTTTCGGATAAATTGAACCGGGAATACTAGGCGACTATACACGACAGGAGATAGCGCACAGTTTAATCCAACGAACAGCATGCATGTGATCTGCTTTTGACACGTGGGCGGAATTTCAAATGAGCTAGTCTCAATTGACATTATCAACAGTGCCTGTTAGTAATTTTCTCGTTATATGACAATATACTTCCTTTATAAACACTCCTCATTTGAAGTCCCCTCGTGTGTGGCAGTCAGTAAATAAGAACAATTAAAATCACAGTACCTGGGCGACAGTGCCTTGCTTGGCATAAAAAAAATATTGATTTCTCAAGGATGACAGCTTTCCAAATCTATATATATACTATATATTATAGAGTATATGTATAGATCGGGGTACATAATATATTATACTAAGGACCCGCCACAGCTTTGCCTGGGTAGGATCTATTAATGTGGTGTTTGTAGAGTTTTACGAGTAAGATATAGTGTAGAATACTCCTGTCATTGGTCTCTCGCTGTTCCTGAAGTTTTATTACAATGGGTTCAGCCATTCCTAAGATTAGTCCGGACAGATAGACAGACATTAATTTTTAAAATAGTTATTCATATCTTAACGGCATACAAATAACTTCTGAAGCTCAACATAAGGCAGTATTTATATATTGGATACAGACATTTTAATTTTAATCTATACCTACATTTGTATATGCATGTATGTACATTTAAATTTCTCACTTATTATAGTATAGGACTATAGGATAAACATTATGTCATCCAATTCGTTAAAGCCAATTACTTACACACTACGAGGGTGCATAAGTAATAATAATTATAAGGATTTTCAGAATACTATTTAAATACCTAAAATGGATTAAGGATACAAAGAAATGTATATATATAATATACAAATGTATATAATATACAAGGAAACTCTTTGAAAAAATACTTGAAATTTTCCAGATCCTAAAGCTTTTCTCGGCATACTTAGATGCTAGGACAACAGAATCCTCAGAATGTAGTGCCAAAACCAATCGATACAATACAGTGACGTAAACGCCGCGCCGGAATGCTTATTGATCGCGTCGCTAAACGATGTGGATAGTAGTAGGAAACCGCGACGGTTATCCACATGAGCATCCAATGCATTATTTGTAACAGGGCGAAAATAATTCGCGATCTTATTATTAAAATTATAACAATAAAACATAAAAAAAAAACAATATAAATGAATACAACCTAATATTTTAATAATTTTGCCAAATTCGTAATCTAAAAATAAATAAAATGGATGACATTAAATCTGCGCTGCCACTGGCATATTGACGTCACACATTGAATGACGTAAAGCGCCCTGATTGAGCTCGAGGTTGATTATACTAAGGCTACAGAAAAGTTAGGAAATACTCAAAGGTTCGTAGCTACAATAAATGCTACGAGGTTTCTCTGAAGGGTAAGAGGTAAGACATTTTTATAAGCATTTAAAAGGTAGCATAATAAATGGTAGGACTACTTTTCTACCTAAGGGTCTATCTGTCAGCAGTGCTGACACTGACGTCTTGGAAGGGAAGAATAAGGAGATCCAGTACAATTACAGGCTATGACTCATTCCATCTTAGTCCTGAGATGACCACGTATATGTAGCCTTCTTTGTTTGAAATTGGCTTCCGGTGTCCACGTACTGCAGTAGCTACTAACCATCAGATGATCTATAAGGTCAATTCAGTTAAATAAAAAAGAACATGGAAGCCCCCGTACAATCTTTTAGATTTTTTAAAAAATAATATCGTCTTATTTGTAACTTGCTTCAAGCAAATCAATCAATATCTAATTTTTAAATTAATAATTTTAGGCATTAAATATAGCACAAGTTAACTTCACCGAAACAGGTTTGGAATTTGGAAAAAAAATTACTGACAAAAACAATTGCCTCTACAATATTTAAATCAGGGTTTCCCAACCTTTTTTGACAAAGGATCACTTTGAATTTTTTGTGGTTAGCAGGCACCAAAAGATGAAAGAAAAAACTATGTTAATCTAACAAAAACCATAATAAGAACTTTTAACATAATTATTTAATAAACTGAAAAGAAGCATTCATCAAGAGTATTATATGTGTGTTTATTGTAAAAGCTAGTAGGTACTTATATAGGTAGGATTTTATAAAACGACCATTGGAATGATGTTCCTTTTAGTAATGATAAAAACTAAAACACACTATTAAAGTGATAAAAGTAGCTATGTAATATTTATATTTTTGCGAACCATATTTAAGCTCTTGGGGACCACTGGTTGTCATATGTTAGGCAGTGCACTTTTGATACACATTTGATGAATGGATGAATAAACTGAGTCAAAATGAGTGACAATCTTTAAGGTTTTTAAACTATCGAAAAGTTATTAAAATTGGTTTTATATACAAAAAAAAACACGAAAATAAATGTGTTCTACTTTTCTAAGTTGAAAAACTGAAAAAAAATTAAAGATTTGTACAATGTGTGTATTAGTGTACCGATATTGAAATATATGTAGCACTTTAAGTAACACTCACTAAGTTCTGATTGATAGCTTTAGGTTGTTTTTTTTAAACTAACAGTCACTAATTAGTCACTAATTCTAGCCACATTTCAGAGCAGAAGACGTAAGCGTTCTGGAAATATTCTATGTTATACAATCGTCAAGTCAGAACCCTTCCTAAAACATATGAATATCTCCGGTTCCGTTGGAGTAATATGCTTTAATCTCGGTATATGACAGTCACCAATTAGCCACTAAATCTTGAAATAGGAATCACATCTCAGACGGAGACAATACTGGTGTTTTCGAGGAAGGCTGCTAGCTTGAATTCAAACTAGAATTCTCCCATATAAAGGCTATATTTTCTGAAGTATTAAGTCACTAATAATTTTTTCTTAAGTCACTAATTGTCACCAATTCTTCACTAATCATGGCCTAATAAAATTTAGGTTATCGTTGAGAAGTATTCCAGCTTGAAAAACACCTTCATACTACTTTACATCGGTCGGGTGCAAACTTTTTAATGATGTCACGGGTATTTTAAAAGAAATTGACATTAATTTGAAAATGGCTTTATAATCTACAGGCATTTTTAGAAAAAAGAATAAGTTACTTTTTAAGAACCAGTCACTTTATCTGTTAAATGTGACAATAGCAGTGAAAGAAATCAGTATTTACCTTGTTTTTGTACATGTGACTTATTTATGTAGTTATTTATGTAACAAAATGATAAATTAAAATTAAATGACAAATAATAAGGCAGAAATATTCCTTCCTACGGAGCTAGCGTGCCAAAAGTTCTGTCTCAACTAAAATATTAAGAGTAAAATAGTAAGGGAATACAATCACCGTTAATAACATTGCTTGTATTTAAAAAAATACTTGCAATGCACAAAAATCATATTTATTCAACTTTATAATTTGCATCGTTGTAATTAATCATCTTAATTTGTATGACTTGTGATGAGCGGTAAATTAATGATGATGATGAAGATGTTTGTCCAGTACTTAATAGCTGACCTGGAATGAAAGTGCCTTGGCCCAGCTACAGGCTACAAAAAATTGGATGATTATTTATTAGATTATTCAGATGATTTAGATATAATTTCCAATAATTTTGAAACACACATATATATATATATATATATATATATATATATATATATATATATATATATATATATATATATATATATATATACTAGCTGGCCAGGCAGACGTGGTTTTGCCCTTTCCGACAGCCATTTTCTTTCCTAAACACTCCTGAGATTAGCAATAAAAAAATTGAGGGTCACTTATCGGGATAATAACTATCCTATCTCTCAAGTTGGACCAAACTGCACACAGTGTGCGAAATTTCATTGAAATCAGTTCAGTGGTTTAGGAGTTCATCGCGGACAAACAACGTGACACGTAATTTTTTATATATATATATATATATGTGTGTGTGTGTATAATAATAAATTGATAAAGTAAATGTATGAGCATTCGAAAAAAATAATGTAAATTTATGTCATCGTAATTACTTGTGGTCACGTAACCCGCGTAGCACAATACATACTTTTCATACGTAGAGTGCTTTTTCCAAAGGTTCATGACGTAATGCGTTGGCTACGAAAGTGCTAAGGCAACATAAGTTGAAGAGGGAAAGCCGACGCTCACATGACGCCATGTAGTGTGAACACAGACGCCCCGCGCAAGTTAGTGCAAGTCAGCAGGGTAGCATGATAAAAAGAGGGTGAAGAATAGTTTTCCCCAACTACAAACCGAAGGGCTTCTTATAATGGTTACTTATGACGTAGTATAATTCGCGTTCGGGGTTTAATGCTATCCACTATACACGTACATGCTCACAAATACAATAAATATTTGGTCTAAATTATTCAAATAAGCTATGAATGATTATTAAAAAATAACACACATTATATCTAAGCTATATAGTATAAAAAATATAAAATAATATGGTAGAGCCACGCTGCTAGCTATATTATGGTAGCAGCACGAATGGGTCTGCTCGTCCGGGGAACAAACCACACTTACACGCCATACCATATTTGGAATAAGGTAAGTGAATGCTGTGGACCTTGTTCTCCCTGATATTAGTCCTCAAAATGAATTAGAATGCCTTCTTACCAGTAAAAAGGGTTCGCGGTACGCTACATTCACCATACGTAACACGTACATACCGCTGGTATTAAGCTGCTATTTATTAAGCTGTTATTTATTATAGCCTATGTTAGGCCTCCTCCATAGTTTGACTGAGAAGGGAATATTTGTTATACTTGTCACGGTTGGCGGACGAGTTGGCAACCGCAACACTTTATTATTTTAAGTTGTTATCAGATCGACGTTGGTGCCCATCTCCTGCTTTATTTCTCTCTGTCGCTTCTTACACCTACGGGATGATGTGCGGTAATGAATACCCTTACGCCGCCTCTAGAAGAAGAAATGAAGATTTCTTCTTTA